GAATAATTCTTCCAAGGTTTTTTCTGTCTTCTTTCTCTTCTTCATTAAACAATATATATTTGATATGAAAGACAATAGGATGCTATAATTTTTATTTTGCAAATATCCGATCTAGCATTCAGCTGGAAAGAAAATTATGGCATTGAAATCTCCCAGAAGATCATCGGTATCCATCAACAGGTTTTTTTTCCTTTTCCCCTCTTCAATTTGTTCCTCTAAGACGGGATATTTTTTCTAGGATATGACCAAATCTTCCGGTCTACTATACTCTTCCATTCTCTTCTTCTCTTTCTCATTAGCATTAAATTTCTGTTTTTCTTTCTCAAAATGAAAAATTAAACTGGTAGAATTTGGAAAAGAAAATAATAATTTACCCAATTATTATGTTAGCCCTTTAAGTCAGCTTCCCCATTTATTACCTGACTTCGAACATTCTTTATTTTACCTAACATCGAACTAACTTAATAAAACTTTCGGCCAACTTATAAGAATTTGTATAAAAAAAAAAAAAAGAATTAAAAGTGCGGTAAAAAGACGGTGAATCGTTTTGAAAGAAAGTGAAACTGATCAGGAATATTCTTTAGTTTGTTAGGTTCAAACTTAGCCATGAGCATAAGAATGAGAAAGAAAGAAAGAAAGGGAATGTATGAGAAAGAAAGAGATAGATCAACGAGCTTATGGAATTCTCGAACGTGCAAACTCGCATCTCGTTGTAAAAAAAAAAAGTTATGTACAACGTAGGAGAGTCTAAAGTATTCGAAACGTGAAAAAGAAAGAGAAAAAAAGAGGGAGAGAGAAAAAGAAAGAAAGAGAAGAGTTGAATTGGAAATTTTTTGTTCGTGTTTGAGATGGTCCTTGAGATTTAAGTATGCACATACGTATCCTTCATTTATGATCGAGATTGAACAAGGTCGAAACTTGTTCGATATAGAAATCGGACGTTCACTGATCTTAATACTCTTGCTTTTTTTTTTTAATTATAAAATATCATTTCTTTGAAAAATTTTGTTTCAAGATAATTTTTGATACATTATGGATAAAGTGATAGATAGTTGAGGTTGAGAAAGTTCGAGGATTGAATATAAAATTCTTCGATACATCATCGGTGTATTATGATTCACGAGATCTTTCTCTCTTCTTTTCTTTTTAGTTTTTATTTTTCTGTTATTTATTTTTTTTAGTTTTAGCATGCGTATGTACAAACATAGCTCGGCGAGAGAGCTCGAGTTACTCCGAATCGACCCGATTTCGATGTATATATATTTTTGCTAATCATGAACTTTTGCCAAAAACGGGAACACGATTCGAACAAAGGAAAATATACAAGAAAATAATTTTGTAACGATTGATTGATTATGTAAAAGCTGATTAAAATTTAAAAATTTGCAATCAAAAATAATTTTTTTTTTTAATTATTATATCAATATAAAAAAAAGATTTTACAAATATAGAAGATCAAATGTAATAAGAGACAATGTAAATTCGAACGTTTGTCGAATTAATCGTCGTAATCATTTAAAACAACGAAAAAAATAAATAATTTACTTTAAAAAAAATATAAATTTGAAATGTAAAAATCGATAAATTAAATTAGCCTATTTCATTATTATAATTATTATAATTATTTTATATTGAATTATTTAGTATAAAATTATATTTTCTCTAGTTTATAAAAAATTTGTAAATTTTATTTAAGAAATTAAATTGTTGAAGCAAAAATAAAAGAAAATCGTTGTAGATCGTAACCCGAATTGTGAGGAGGTGCAAAAATGTCATTCTTTCGAGAAAATCATATATCGCGTGGACGTAACGAGACACCCAGGGACGATCTTTGCTGTGCGTAACCCGAAATGGTCCGATGTCGGCAGGCGGTAACGATCTCTCCTACCACCCTCCTTACCACCTTTTCCTCCTTTTCTTCCTCCTTCACCTCCCTCTTGCACTTATAAATAACCCTCGGTCGCGATGCAAGCACTTTGAATCGAGCTCTCGTGATATATACGTCTGAAATTATTTTTTCTTTCTTTTTTAACCTTCTTCCCGAAGAAAATGCAAAAAAAATCGTACTTGCATATTTTGTATTTCATTTTATTTTCTTTTATATATATATATATATATATATTTTTTTTTTTTTTCTTTAATTCATGGTCGCGGAATATTGCATTGAATTTTATTAAATTTATTTTAATGAAAATTATTATTTTATGACCATTAAAATTATTTATACCATAAAATAAATCGTCAAATAAATTTATATTATATTTTTTGTGCCTCAAATTACTACTATAATAATTATCGGCATGTATGCTTTCTTAAGAAATCATTTCTTTTTATTTTTTTTTTTATATATTTTTTTTTAATTGATTAAATCGAATGCAAATATTCGTAGGAATACGTTTTAAATTTGAATTAAAATCAATCAATATATTATAATCGGTTGAATGAATTCGATCCAGAAGAAAAATGAACGAAGATAAGGAAAAGAAAATAAGAGAACATGAATTAAAGGAAAGTTCCGTGCAAAAGCGAAAGCAAAGCAAATTCATATCGGACTATCCTCCATATCTCAGAGTATATCTGCTTTCCTCTAAGGCACGTTATTGAAGCTCGATGTCCTTTCTGTTCCTCGTTGAGAAGCCTGGCATCTCTGATTACCAGCAACAGCAGCAACCAACAGCAAAAGCAGCTCGCTCGCTCGTTCGAAATCGCGCACATTCGCTCGCGCATAAACCAGTGACGCGGATATGCGTGTATACTCTGCCGCATTGGCGTACTAAAAATGATAACAAACAAAAATAAGTAAAAATATTATCTGACCGACAAAAAAAAATTCGATCAACAAATCGAAAAAAAATTAATCAGCGACAATATCGATTTCGATACTTTCTATTTCTGTGTTTTTTTTCTTCTTTTTTATTATTTTTTTTCTTTTTTTTTTTAGATTCGTACGAATATTTTACTGTTAAAGGGGATTAGGATGACGAATTAAAAAAAAAAAAAGAAACAAAATTTCGCTCTGTTTAGCACGAGAGAGATCTATCGTGTGATACGCCAATGTATTTCTTACGTTCTTCGCGCGAACGAGAGCTCGCTTCGAAAGCAGGAACACGATATTCGAGAGCGAGGAACACGGCCGTTCTCAGTTTAAAAATACGCTATGAATGATGCAAATATATATAGTCGCTAGTTTCGAGGGAACTAGTTTCGGAGTGCCTGATAAAATAAAGAAACACAGATAGAGATAGAAAGAGGGGGAGAAAGAAAGCAAATTTGTTTGTTTAGACATATCAAGTCTTATCAGATTATGAATATAATCTAACGAATTTAGGGTACGACAAAAATACTGATGCATTTTTTCAATATTAATTATTTAATTTAAGATTTTTTCTAAATTTTTTGTTATATAAAAATTAAATAAAAATATAAATAAAAAACAATATTTTATAGTATAGGTTTGTAGATAATTTTCAAATTAATTGCTAACTTTTTTGTTAATTTTTATACACGCTGGCATGTATTTACAATTTTATAAATTAGACTCTTAATATTAGAATCTAAAAATAAATTAGTATTTAATATCACCTAGAAACTTAATAACGAACCCTTAATAATTAATAATACATATATAAATATATTTTTTAATATATAATTTTTATTTAATGAACTAAACGGATCGAGTAATTTTTTTTATTTGGAACCTCGAAAATTAATTTATGAATAATTTTAATTGTTTATGAAATAAAAATTAGGAAAGCATTAAAAATGAAAAAAGAAAATAAATAAATAAAAGTTCGAAAAAAAAGAATAAGAAAAAGGGGGAAGAAAGATCGTAGAAGTTGTTTCTTTGCGGGCACGTCGATTACTGGCCGCTTAAGCGAGCTGTGGCCAGAGCTCGGAGAAACGATCGGATAAAACCTGAATGCGGCCGCTGCTGACTTTTATTTTCTTCCTTGGAGCGCTCCTGAGGACGACGACGCGCATACCATAGCTCTCCGGAGCCAACAACAACCCCAGGACTATACTTCGAACTTGAAAGATCTCTTATTCCTTCCCAACAAAAATTCTATCAAACAAAACAAAAGAAAAAGTAGAAGATTTGAAAAAGAAGGATTCGATTCTATCGAATTTAATACGTTCGATTTATTAATAGAATGCTAATATATATATATAATTGTGTATACAACCATTCGCCAATTTTATACGTCAATTTGAAAATTTGAATGTTATTGTAATTTTCGTAGATTTTCTAGTTTTCTATTTTTGTAATTTATTTTTAGATAGAACAAATGTAAACCTAAATAATATATTTTAAATTAATCTCTTTATTAGGTATATATTGAATTAGAAAATTTATTAATGTAATATGTATGTATTAATTAATGTAATATGAATGTTAATATTTGTTTTAATGATTTTGGACTACGATAAGAGAATAATAATTAAATTATTACATTATTTCGATAACAAATAATTTCGACAATAATTATAAATAATAAAAGAATTTTTTTTCCAAGCAGATATTTATCTTAACCAAGGAGTGAGCCAATAAAAGCAGCATCATGGACGCGATCAAGAAGAAGATGCAGGGAATGAAGTTCGAGAAGGAGAGTGCGATAGATCGCGCCTTGCTTTGCGAACAACAAGCTCGCGATGCCAATGCACGTGCCGAGAAGGTTAATATCGTTAAATCTGTTTAATTGATCCTTAAAATAGAAAAAAGAAAGAAAAAAAATTCAATTTCAATGATGCAATTATAAAATACCGATTGTTCTTCTCGAAATACATTTTTTTTTATCAAAAATATATCCTTTCAAATAAATGAAGTATCGAAATAAAAATAATTATAAATTTTATCGTTTAGGCTGAGGAAGAAGCACGTGCATTACAAAAGAAGATCCAGACCATTGAAAACGAGCTCGATCAAACTCAGGAAGCTCTTATGCAGGTTAATGCAAAACTGGAAGAGAAAGATAAGGCCCTTCAGAACGTAAGTACACTTTAGTACCAATTTTAATCGAACTACGTCGTCCCAACATCGGTTATCATCTGGAAGAAAATCCTGAAACAAAACTATCAAATTAAGAAAAAATTTAATTACGTAAGTAAAATCTGATAAAAATTTGAAACTGGCGGGTAGTAAAAACATTTTCCACCAGTTCGCGCTAGTTGCGTTTACCGACTGTACTCCTCGATAAAGTAGATGTCGCTTTGATAGATTCGTGACGAATAAATCTTACGAAAGAAAGAGAGAGAAAGAAATAAAGAAAAAAAAACAATTATCTTTCTCTCTTTTTTTGCGTAGACGCAGTTCGTGTGTAGAAATCGGGCACGAATGTTCGTCCTATGTGTGTTCGGAGAGGTTCGTGAGGATTCGGTTGGCATCCAGTCGACGGTGGGTGGGCGGGTAAGAAAATAAATAGGCGATAGGTTGGAGAGGGGTTAACCCGAATGTAGTCTCTTCGGTTGGTAAGGTGGGGATAGATAGAGGGTGAAAGAGAGAGAGAAGACGTTAAAATCGTCAGAGAATGGTGGAGAAACAGGGATGGAAGAGAGAGATAGAGGATGATAGAGGAGGAGTGGGGATGAAGTTTGTGTGGTGAACGGCGCGACTGCAGAAACGTGTCGCGCAAGAGCCAGTGACAGACAAGATGGCGGTAGAGCTTATGTGTGAGCGAGCGAGATAGATATAGAAAAGAAGAAAACGAAGAGAGGGAGAAAGAGAGAGAGATAGAGAGAGAAAGAAAAAGAATAAGAGAGAATCAAGACGTGAGTGCAGCTCAGCACGACGACACGTCGCAAAGCAGCGCGCGCGTTCTGCTTACAGTGTTAAAGGAACACGTTTTTATCGAATATTGGTTATTAAAGGTCCAAGGAAAGTAATCATTGGTTAGTTTGTCGTAACTTTTGATCATAATCGTCCATTGTCGTTATTAAAAATTGAAGGTTTGGCATACTGGTGCATGTTCCGTTTAGGATCGTCCCGATCATGGAGCACTTGCCGGCGTCGACCGCGAGACGTCGCGGTCATCAACATCACCCGCGTCACTCGACACGGAGACGTCTCGAGGCATCCGGCAGAGGACCCGCGCAGTGTGGCCCTGCCGGTATAACAATAACAAACAATAATACTAATAACAAAAACAACAACAACAATAACAATACCCTACTCGAGGATCATACAGGGTTACCCGAGACGACAACCTCTTTGGGCTCCCATTGGTTGCGAGATTCTTTGTCAAAAAGAATCGAAGCTGATAACGATGATGTCAAATCGAACAAATCTACGAAAACTGTTAATAAAGATACTACCACGGCAACTACAACTATTTCGGAGATTGCGATTATTGGAACAAATGAAGAAAAAGTTGAGAATAATGAGAATTTGGACATCCGATCAAGGCTCGCGCAGTGTAGCCCGGACGTCCAGTTTGAAGTTCGAGAGGACAAAGAAAATAACGTAGATATCAATAAGGATGCGAACATTGATAAAGATAATGGTCATAATAAGGAGAAAGATAAAAAAAAGAAAGTCGATAATCGTCGTAGAACGAAGGATTTAAAGGACATTGATCTGACGCGCAAACTTAGGTTCGTTAATGCACCACGTGTTTGGGACATCGAACGAACCAAGGATGTAATCAAGGACGATAGAAAAGAAAGTAATAAAATATTTAATGACTTGCTGTTGGACGAAGTAGAAGAAATAAACGATGAAATCGAATACGATGACAACGAAATGAAAGAGAAATTTTTCCGTGACAGACTCGAGCCTGAGCACGCGGTCGCGAGGGCTCGAGGTGATGGAAATTCTGACGACGAATCAACGAATGTTGAAGAAGACCCTGAAATAGCCGAGTTAGCTAAACTCAGGTGTCCTAGCGAAAGGGCCGAAGTACAAGCTGAAAGAGAAGCAAGAAGAAGAAAAAGATGTGCTGATTATCCTGGACTCGCATTTGGCTCTTCCATATTCTCCAGCGACACCATGATGAAATTCAGTCTAATCAGGAACGAATTACAGAATATCATGGGCAATCAACTGAAGCGGGTCAGTCAGTTCTCTTCTTTAAGGTTTTTTTTTTATACTCATATGTCTGATAACCTTGGTCACGTCACGGTGGCCTTGACAAGGCGACAAGGTCCAAACAAAGATCATTTTTCTATTTTCTTTTTATTTACATTTGATTAGTAAATCACTAATCTTTAGTGAGAGATTAGTATTATCGACTTTTACCTCTAATACTATCTCGATTAACTTTCTTTTTCATTTATTTAATACTACAATGGCGTGGGCGTCGATTACGTGACCAATGTAGATATGTATTTATCCATTTGAAATGTCACTATATTGGATCATGCTCTATTTATATACGCTAATTCAAACGATACTCGTTGTTGGTTTATATATATCTTTTATATATAATCGTAGTAGAACATTTCAATTGTAACATCTGTTCTGATTTAAATGTCCAATCCTGTATATAAATCTTGTAATCTATTCTTGTTATTTTATATTCAAACGGGTATATTAACGAAGTAACATGCAAAAATTCCATGAGTTCGTGCAAAGTTTATCGCGGAAATTAAACAACTACGTCGAATTATATCAATTACGTAGAATTATAAGACAAAATAGTAGACTCAAACGTTCTACATTAGTATCGCGTTAGTTCATATCTTTTAAAAAACAGTCTTCAGAACCCAAACAAGAACAAGTCTAAATGCGTTATGTTCATCTTAAAACTTGCTCAAATTATAATAGAATTACATTAAGAACTTCTTGCTTCTGACGTAATCATTTGAATTCTTGTCACATGTTTTAAATATCTATAATATTAATTATAAAAATAATAAATAGAATCTGTTAGGATTACGAAAATTTATCGCTCGTTGTTTTAATCTCAATTACAAAAAAAAGAGATGAAAGAAAAAATATAGAGCTTATGTTAACCAATTGATTTCATCTTTGCGGAACATGTTACTCAAAATGTTCGACAGATGGCAACCCTATTGTTCCTCTCGAAAATCATAAATATTTAAATGCGCGAGATGTTCGAAGTTTTTGGATAATATTTAATATTGATTATTCTTTTTCACGACATTTTTTTTTTAATTTTAGCAATATTGCCAAGCTTACAGTTTTATAATCTGTAAGGAAGCTTGGTTTAAAATATTTTGAAAAAGTATAATTAATATTTTAAATTACCTAGAAATTTTTGGCCCCATCTATATTTTTCTTTGTCGACATCTTGAAAAAGGAGATTGAAGAATAATAAACATGGCGCTGTTAAGAAACGCATCCTTTTTGGTAACAACGTTGTAGCAAGCAAGCAAGCAAGTCTTGTATCTTGCACAGTGTGTTAGCCAAATACACACTCACACACATTCTTCTTTCTCTTTCTTGTTGATGTTCGTTCTAAAAATAAGTCGTGGATCCAGCCGTCTTGCATCTTTTTTTATTTGGAACTCCTTGAGAAGAGAAAAGGGTGGTAGCGGGGTTTGAGGATGAAGAATGGGGCTGGGGAATGTCGGGGGAGTCTTTTACTTGCTTGCGTAAGCGAACCACCCGGAACGCGTTTAAGAATAAATTTTCCTAAGCGTCATCTTTAATTCCCGTATGTATGCGTATTTTTACATACACTTTCTGTTTTGTCTCTTCTTCAAGAAAATACAAATTCCTTTGAATTAGTGAAGAATTTGGAACATGCATTCTAAATTCTTCTTCGTCTTCTTCTTCTTCTTTTTATTCTTTCTTTGTGTGTTAAAGATGAGCAAGCTCAACAACCTTTCAATAGCTTGAATGATTAATCATGTGAAATCAAACTTGAATGTTGAAATTTTTTATTTAATTTTCTCTTATCTTCAGTATACTCTTATCTTATTAATATCTGTTTAATGTGTTTTTTTACAATTCTCTAAATTGAGAAAAGAAACCTGTTTTGTCTTGGATATTAATAATTCAAAATTAATAATTCTAATAATTTTTTTTAAATAAAATACAATTGGTTTTATAGTTTTTGAAATTTTATATTAAAATATTACAGAGTTGAAAATGAAAAGGAAAGATGACATCACGAAAGAATAAAAATATGAGTAAGTGATGTAAAAATAAATCAACATTTAATGAAATAAATTATCAAATAGATAATTCAAAATATTTAATAAATTAATACCATACATACACAAAGTGTGCAAAAGTTTCAAAACAATTTTGAAAAGTAAATTATTTTATTTTTAGATTTTTTAGGCTTTTATAAAAATTAAGCTTATAATTTAACAAAATTTGCTCAAAAAAATATTAAACCAAGAGGAATAAATTTTTGCTAGGAATAATCTACAAACTTTTGACTCACTTTGTATATTCGTATCTTTAGAATAGAATAGTTGATGACCATCCATCTCATTTTATTGACCTTCCAAACGTCAGCGGTTGCGTTCCCTTCGACGAAATAAAATGTGTAAGCTTCCACGAAGGGACAACACATCCTTGAGAATTCGTCTCCCTTACTTGGTCACACTCGTTGCCGCGATAAATTCTCAACGATTTTGTTACTTCATGCACTTATTAAAATGCATCATCTATTCTTATTTTAATACATTATTAAACGAATTTGAAATATACAAAATGGCGATAAATAATACTGCAAAAAGCCAATTATCGTTTGATTTAAAAAAAATAAATAAATAAATTGATGCTCACATTTTTTTTATAATGGAACAACTACACTAACATAACAAGTGATTACTATTATCGCTGTTGCTATTATCAATGTCTCTTCTTTTTATCGAGACTGAAATACTTTAAGAAATACAAAAAAGTGAAAAGCGTTCAAACAAGAGTACCGTAAAACGTATGTAACATAATAAATTACAACCTGACATAAATGTCTTAACACAGTAATATTATTGTTATTGTGATAACAGTAAAATGGTAACCACTCACAATCACCATTATTCTAATATTTTAACTTACAAATTTGTTGCTCGTTTATATTTTTATTTTTTATTATTATTTTTGTATGGGGTAATTGTTAATTTTTGAATTATATGTTCATCAATTTAAATTATCCATATAAAGTTATTGTTTATACATTTATATTATTATTTCTTTTATATAGAAATTAACGTGTGCAAAATTAGTGTGTTTTTTATTAAATCCGAGTGAAGCTTGTGTTAGATTAGGTGCAAAAAAAAAGAAACAAGAAAAAAAAATACATTGGCAATATAGAACATGCTTCGAAATGGAACAACAAAGTATGTAAGGTTTCTCACGACTAGTAGAACATTTGATGCGAGCTTAGGACGCTTAGCAACAACCAGCTGAAAGAATCCAAACGATCGATAGAACTTTCCAAGCGCATAATTTTTTTCTTTTTTTTTCTCATTTTTTTCTCTTGTTTTTTCTTATTTCTTAACATTTTTCTTTCTGCTAAACTTTCCAGTAGGATAAAACATACTGTCATCGTTATTGGGGTTTACATATTAGTTGGATTAAATTAAAAACAAAAAAAAATGTTAACTCGGTTATATTTCCATTTGGAACAAGTATACTTATCACGATGCTCTCGACGTGCCTATTCGATGACGTTCACGTGTGCGTCATACTAAATTGAAATAAACATTCCTTTAACGATTTACACCGTGTTCTTTCCTTTTAATGAAGTGGTGGTTGACGTTATTAATTAAAATCGACGGTGGTGCATAAATTGTCATTGTTCCTAACTTTTGATCGATATTTCTAATCTAGTCACGATCGATTAGTATTCCAATAAGGACAAAAATATGAATTGATTATCGATGATGCAAGGTCAAACAAAATTTCTATTTATTTATTTTGTTTTCAATTTTTGATTCATAATGAAACAATTTGATGTAAGAAAATCGTTCGAATACGATTGATCATTATTTTATTACTCTCTGTCATCCCCAGGATTCGCATTTTACAGCTATCGTATCTCGCTCGTGTCAATTTTACTTCCCAAGTAGGTTGACGAGCTTGATAGAGTTACACAATGACCGAGAGAACTATTTTGCTTACCTCCCACCATTATGTCCCATATCCGCTTGCCAAACGATATAAACAAGTGTTCAACAACTTAACATTTCTAAAGTATTGATAACAATTAAATCCTTTTCGTGATATAAACTTCATTTAATTCGATATTTCAATCAAAATTTATCATATATTTCGATCAAAAATCACGAGATAGGCGTATTTCAATATAGAAAATAATTGAAGAAGTAAATATTATATAAAAATGAAATTTATTTATTCAGAAATTTTCAAATATGAAATGGACCCAAAGTTCCTAGATGATTTTAAAAATCAATTATTCTTTTTTGAAATTTTCTATGCTGATATTAGTTCATTTATTGATTTTGAGGCAAAAGACTGTAAACGAATTACTAATCCATCCATTCAATTAAAAATTTTGCTCTTGCAAAATGTAGCTTCTTAGCTACAAGTTAGTAAATTAATTTTCTTTTTTTAAGATTTTAGTAAAATAATATTAATTTTTTGTTTTGTTCGTGTTTTATCAAACGATCGTTTGATCGATGAAATTATATGCATATGTATATGCATATACTTACGAGTATGCCGTAATATTTCGTTCAGAATACCAAACCGGTTTTCCATCCTGGATTCGTCTTATATCTCTTTCTCTCATGTCAGTGTCACGATTACGCGAAAATAATCTTTTACGTAAGATCGCATTTGTTATTAAAGTTTCCTGACATTCTTTTTCCTATATAATCGTTTCTTTAGAAAAGTATTTGACCTATGCGAACCGGTTGTTCGAACTTCCTAGTAAGAATTTTTACCGTTATCATTTCACTTATTTGCTTTCGATCTAAGAATCGATCATTACTCATTTTGGCGGGAATATTTCAATACCTTTTTTATTCAAATCTCAACAATATAAACATAAAATAAATTAATCAATTGTATAATCAAAAAAATAATAAAATAACGATTAATCGTAGAAGAATCGTATTAGCAGTTTCAATTTTGAAATTTATTGAAAAATTAAATAAAAGAGAAGATGT